CTCTCTCTCTCTCTCTCTCTCTCTCTCTCTCTCTCTCTCTCTCTGTCTCTCTCCCTTTCTCCTACCTCCAATTTCCTTTCGCGCTCTCTCAATCGTCGTCATTAGCTGTAACAATACATGTGTAATCTCTGTTATGCTCCTAAGACGGTAATTGCTCTATATTTAGTCGCGAGTGATTCGCCAGCTAATGAGATGAACAATTATTCCACTTAATTATTACTAATCGCATGAAGGAAACACACAATGGCTCAACGACATGCGCTGAACTCTGACGTCATTAAATTGCGCTGCTAGCATTCATACGGTAGACGGAAAAGAAGTCACAGGAAAAAAGTCACAGAAAAAAAGGTCACAAATTTGGCTAGAAAAAAAAGTCACAGGAAAAAGATTACATTTTATTAAAAGGTAATAAAAGTGACATGTTTTGTATACATGTACCTAGTGTAGCAGATTTTTTGAACCACGTTGATAATTTCCATGGCTGGAAGCGTAAAAATTATTTCGATAATTAATTCATACACCGCGTATCGTGTGTTTCGCCTCCAACACCTTCACCACCACCTATTTGTTGCATGAGTTTATTTCGCGGCTGTCACCAAGGCAGGTATAGATATCCCATAATACACGTATTACGTGTATGTATGCGTACACACGTAGACGTGCACGCACGCACGCACGCACACGTATATATATATATATATATATATATATATATATATATATATAGTAACCAGCGTTACTATGAACGCACCACAATAGTCTTCGTTATGCTGTGTATGATGTGTCTGCATTGTAACGCCACGCTTAGGCGTTAACGTGGCCCTAATTCATCTACGGACGCCACTGACTCCAGAGCGCGCTTCTCTCTGCCGTGTACGTGTATCCGTAACCGCTGGCTTCTGGCAGTCTACCCACGACTCCGCATAGCAGTCACGTTAGCACACCAGGACTCCCTTGTAGTGTTTCATCCTTTCAACGTAATGCACACCGCTGCGCATTTCGCTCGCGCTACCTACCTACCTGCCCGTCGGCGGGGTAAACAATTCCCACGCGCGAGACAGACGACACAGTCACAATGGCGGACACCTCGTGGCGACAACTAGGTCACGAGGCCGTGGTTGCCGCGGTACAGCTCACCGCCGAATTAGATGCAAATCTCATCTCCACAAGAATCGGAGTGGCTTCCGTGTGCTATCTTATCTCCGCTACAGGTAACAACGTGAATGGCACCACGGCAACATACGGCTATGGTTAGCCATCGTATTCAGAAATAAAAAAAATGTCCTGCGGTAGAAATCATTTAACCGCAGTTAGATAATTGCCCTTTTACCCAATCAGAGACCTTGGTGCATTTAATTTAACCGCGGATAAATGATTTTTCCCGCGGTAGTAATAATTCAACCTCGATTAGATTAGAGACCTTTTTACACAATCGGAGGCCTTGATACTGTCTCAGGAAACATACGCTCAGAATGGCCTAAACACTTTCAGAAAATAATTATTTCTAAGTAATGGTGACCATACACGTTAGCGATGAACTACGGAAGCAGGGACTGATTGCTCATCATCACAACACCGCCCCCGCACCCGACAGCCGCGAGCGCAGATGACGCAGATGCAGACGAGTGTGACGATGAATAAAGTCGGCCATCTTGCCATCTTTGCAAGGGGAGGGTGGGGGTTGCTGCGGTGGGAAGGGGTAGGGGTGGGAGTTGCTGCTACTGGTGGTGGTGGTGGTGATGGTGGTGCTGCTGCTGCTGCGGATGCTGCTGG